TAGGTTGACTGGATTATTCTTAGGGTATGATAATATGCACAWTATTAATAATTTTAAGATTGAAGTAATTATTTTTTCCCCTTTTATTCCTTTATTGCCTTGGMTTTTACTTGCCGTGAAGGCAAAAATTTGTTCTTTGAGGGCAGTAACAAATCTGGACTTTTCAGCTTTTCAGTTCATCAGTCTGAGAGTCCCCCTTTTCTCACAGGAGAGGGACAACTCATAGGGCCCCCAGGATGGGGCCAAGCATTTGAGAGGGAACAAACCTGTGAGCTCAGGGGGGTGAGCTGGCAGGGCTTAACTTTTTGTGGGAAAGCTATTGCTGGAAATCTTGCCCCAAGCACAGACCATCATGGGAGACTCTGAATGGGCTCCTCTGGCACCCAAAATAGTACTGCCACCCTCCTGCTCCAGTGTGGGGCTGTAGGATACTTCCTGCTGGGAAAATGCTGTCCTTTGTGACTGGGAGGCAGCAGGATGATCGTGCAGTAGCCAACAGAGTGGATTTACTTTGCTGGTCTACATCACACACCTTGTATGGGCAGTACCTCACAGAGGGAATTTCCCCTGTTGGGATGGGATCCCTTGTTGAAGGTTGTGGTAGGAATTTGGAGCAGCCTGAGAGCCCATGGCAGTGTGATGCTCAGAGCATTATTTCTATGCATGGAACGGAGTGCAATGCAAAGGAGCCAAGGCTGGCATGGATCTTGCAGACAGGGTGTGCTGATTAGCATGTAATTCGATTTGTTAGGCACTACAGTAAACAGCATTAAGAGCAAAAGCAGTGATTGCTCCTGATAGCACCCTCTCAGCGTTACCTCGTGCCTGTGGCTGCTGGCTGGAGCTGTGTGCCGGCTCCTCAGCAGGCATCAGCAGAGCTGGCACTGCTCCTTTCTTGGGCAGAGACAAAGGGGGAGAGTAAGACAAATACAGCAATTATAGAAGGGTTTGGGTAACTGTATCTACAGAGCACAGCTCACACATTTCTCCTGCTTTCCCTGTTCCTTCCCCATTCCCCAGTGGCACATCTGGGTCCAGCACTGCTGTGGGTTACTCAGCTCAGGAGGAGAGATGCTGCAATAGTCTGATTTTCCCCACCAGTATTGTGTTTTCCTCCAGTAAACGTCATGTCCGTGTGTTTTCCATCATGGATCTGGTAAAGAAAATCCCTTATCTCTAACTTCTGTGCCACGTTTGGACTGTGGGTCGAGGAGCCCTTGGCATGGCAGTCTGGAGCTGAGCAGATCAACTCCTGGCTCTCCTGCGTAAGAGCAGACTTGCTTTACGTGTCATGTTGTCCTGCTCACTGAATTCTTTGTCTGCTGTCGCCAAAGGGCTCCCTCCTTCACACTTCACATTTACAAGCACAGAATTAATGTACTGCATCAGTTCAGCATAAGAACAAGTAACGTTTTTCTGTAGAAATGCCCCCCGAGGCAGTGCAATGGTGAGTTGTGTTTTCTGTTCCCCRCAAAGGCAGCTCCAGCCCACTGCCATCGACAGTAGCCATTGTCAGCACAGGCTCCCCCTGCCCCRTGTGTCACCTTGTGCCATGTACGTGGTGTTGGAACCAGCCAGACTATCCCTTGGCAAAGCACGTGCGAGGACAGGACAGACATCCTGCTTGTGCTCATCCCTCCAAAATAGCAACAAATTCCGAGTACAATTCCTCTCATTTCCTCTCCTTCTGTGGGGGTGAGCACAGGAGGAGCTGCACAGAGGGATGGCATTTGCTGAGAGCCCTGGCACAATCAGGGCTACGTTGGAAGCTGTCGGGAGGAATTAAGTTAAGGGTGAGTGCTCTGGCGTGGGGATGGCACAGAGGCAGCTCCACAGAGCTGCCCTGCAGCCTCCCACCTCCCTGTGCCTCTGATAAAGGCACCAGGCCATGTTAACTGGGGGATATTTTCCTAAGTAATCCCATTGGGAGGGTTCTTAATAACTGTGAGAGGATTGCTGGTTTGTGTGAATGGGCAGGTGCTTGAATGAACTTCAACTTAATATATTTTGTGCTCCTGWTAGAAGTTTCTTGAGTTTTATGCTRCRCACACATTMTSCMGCCTCCTGGAAAGCTCCATCATATAGGTGCCTCTTTTTCCTGAAAGAGCTTTGTATGTCTTGGAGAACAGGTATTCACTCACCCAGAATGTTTTCTGCTCCACATCTGATTAAATAAGTCCTTTATTTTTTGTGTCGTATCAGTGAAGCTCTGGTAAAAATTAAATCACCTCTCCTTTTTTGAGGTATGAGGACTCAGCACATCAGTGGGGATTGAATCAGGACACTTACAAWCCCAGAGCAGAAAGTTACACAGACRTGGCTGCCCCAAAGCCCCATCCTCAGACAGCTGAGGAAAACACATATCATTTCCTTTCTTTGGGAAAGATGAGGGGAAATTAAGTTTTCCTTGTGATTGCTGTGTACATTCCAGTTCTTTGGAAGGACTGTGCTTGGCTCTGCAGTGAAATGGAGAGACCTTTCTGGCTGAATGTGAATGTGCTGTTCATTTTAAAAAGCAATGTGCACTGTGCCAGCTGATGTGCTTTTAGTTATCCGATGTTTGGAGCTCAGGAGGACTTGGAGCATCCGGCAGCTGCGCTGGGATGTGAGTCCTGCGGGRAACCCTGGCATTGATCAGAGGAAAAAATACATGTCTAGAGCTGATGGTTTAAAATGTTACTCCAATAGTCTCATGGATTGCCATCCCAGAGGGCGAATGAAATCGATGCAGTTCCATTGAGCTGCAGCCGGCTGCGATCTGTGGAGCCCTGCAGATGAGCCCTGGTTGGGAGCTACTGCCTGACCTGCCGGCTGCTTCTGTTTGAGCCTGGAAAAGGAATGATCTCTGAACAGAAACCAAGCATGATGGCTTTGGGTTAGGCTGGAAACATGTCTGGGAGTGCCAAATTGTACCCAACACAAACAGGAAAAAAAGTAAAAATATTATGGAAATGGGTAAAGAGCCAAATATCAAGTAGTGTGTGGGAGAGGAAGGTGAGCAAGATACCAGGTTAACAGAGGGGAGAGAGACTGTCAAAAGAGCAGGAGATTTGGAAGACAGAGTAGGGTAGAAAGCCAGAGAGAATTGTGTGAATGATGAGACCCATGAGAAAAGGCCAACAGGAGCAAGTCTGCTYTGTCTAAAGGAAATATGCACAAGGGAGACAATCACCTGCAAATACACATTGGGGACTTACAAAGCAGACAGCAATCAATTTTCAAATAATGSACTTGATCTTTAGATAAACTAGTTAAAGGGAATGAAGGTGGAATAAATAACTGGTTTATCACCCCATCTTTTTTTTGTTTCAGTAACACAATTKTATTTTCTTCTCTGAACTTCTCTCCACCTCCTGAATCAAAGTCAGGGCAACACCTTGACAGCTTAGTCTCTCCTGTGACAGAAGAGATTTTATAGAGCTGCCAGCCTCCTCACCCTGCTKCTGTTCCAGACAGATGCTGCTCAAGTGCTTAGCCAGCCCTGCTTGAAATGGCCCAGAGAGCAAGGTGGAGGACAATTTTGAGACAGCAGAAAGCAGACAGAGGACTCCAGGACAGTATTTCACTGAAAAGCAACAGGACCTCTGTCTGTTCCCTGGGGATAAGGGATTTGTTCTTGCCTTGCACAGCAGACTTCTGAGTCCTCCAGGAAGTCAGTTCCGAGCTTGCTTCAGTGGAACTGTTAGGTTGTACTTTGTTTTAAGGTGGGACTGCCAACCCCAAGGGTTAATGCAGGTTGTGAATGTGTTGGCTGTTTCCTATGCCAGTAGATTGAGCAAATACCTTTATACCCCTCAGTGTTTGCCACTCATGTCTCCTTCCACCTTGCCAATGAAACTTCATGTACCAGCTAATCTGTTAACCTTGTGTGCCCTGAAACCCTCCTGCTGCCTGCTCAGGGGGGCAAAATAGACAGGAAGAAGGCAAATCAACCCACTGTTACCTAAATGGACTAAAAACACTCACTGTAGGAGCAAGAGCTGTAACAATTAGCTTTACCAAGCTGCCAGGCCAACCCAGGTCAATCCAGTGATGGAGAAGCTGGGAAGGTCACATTTCCTCCAACAGCCTCCAGCTCCTTGCTTGTATAGCATTGGAGGGACTCTCTCTTATCCACACCACCTGCACAGAAACAAAAAGAGCTGRTCCTCCTTCCTGAACCTTAAAAGGAATAGGGCTGTCATTGTAATGAATCCCACCCAAGTCTGCTGGCCAGAASCCAGGGACCTGTGCTCACCTGGGCATAAACCCAGGTATTCTGGGCAAGTGGCTTTGACAGYAAATCATTTCTCTCCTGAAGTCAGGCCATGTTATGTGATATTTATAATAGCTGATATCTGATGCTTTTTTTAGGCAGGACCCTTCACAAGTGCAGATGAAGGCCCTCGGATTGGGTTAGAATTAGATCTGAGCTCTCTGTCTGTCTGCATCACTGAAATGGCACAGGAATACTTCCCCTTTGACTGCTGCTGTGTGAGACTGAGATCTGAGCACAGCAGAGCCAGGGTCCCATCTGGGATGGGGTGTCTTTGGAGATCTGRGGTATAGATTTAGAATGCAAAGCCATGTGTGTGTTTTCTCCCCTCTTGTCTCGGCACGGCTCACAAACCAAGTGCTGTCCTCCAAGCAAAGCCCTCCACTGCTGCTGCAGGCTTGGAGCTTCCATGGTGTGCAACTTGTAGCATGAGCAGAGAGAGGAGTAGAAAGTAGGACCTGGGGCTTGCTTTCTTGGGAATAGAGGCATTTCCTTGTTTCACAAAGTATTATGAACATACATATAAGACACTGGCTTAATTTCTTAAAGTCTTCTCCCAGAAAGAAAGTCCAATAAATGCTTGTCTCGCATAGATCTCAGTGTGTGGAGTGAAGTTCATGTAGGTATTTGGCTAATGACATCTAAAATTCCCTGAAGAAGAGAAAATGGCTGGGGGTTACAGCAGAGTGTAAAGATGTTTTTTTTTTCTTTTCTTTCCTTTCCTGTTTCCCTGTGACTTCTCCAGATCTTTCCACCATGTTCGGGAAAAAGAAGAAACGGCTGGAAATCTCCGGGCCCTCCAACTTCGAGCACCGGGTCCACACTGGCTTCGACCACCGGGAGCAGAAGTTCACGGGGCTGCCTCAGCAGTGGCACAGTTTGCTGGCAGACACGGCCAACCGGCCGAAGCCCATGGTGGATCCATCATGCATCACTCCCATCCAGCTGGCTCCTATGAAGGTACCCCATGGAGTCCCCTCTTAGTCCCTCAASCTGCCTTTCACTGCATATCACCTTAATGAAGCAATGCCAGCACTGTGTGGGTATTACACATCAGCTGTCCTGGTGGGCAGGCATGGCTGGGAGGGAGCTGYAAATCCAAACATTTCACAGCAGAGCTGCGAGGAAAAAAGGAATTGTGTGTATAGAGCTTGTGTGAGTGTCTCAGAAGAGCGTGAGTCACGGGTCTGGCAGGAGCTGAGCCTTCGTGCTGCTGGGCTGGAAGAGAAAAAGCCACAAGTCCCAGTGGAGGCCCAAAATGCTTCTCCTCTACAGCATGAAGCTCCTTGATAATTAATTTAAGAGCAGTGCTTTAGGCAAAGGCAGTTTGGAGCGAGGGAGAGAGGGAAAAGTACACCAAAGGAAAGGAATTAAATTGCTTGTTCAGCTGGGCAGGGAGCTCAGGGAAGGATGTCATTGCCACCCGCCACTGCCTGCGGGGGGTGGGACGGGGTGATGAAGCTGAACTCTTCAATGAGTAGGAATATGAGGGGAAACAGCCCCAGATCATGGCTTGGGAAGCTCAGGATACCTGGGAGGAAAGCCTGGTTTAGAGGGTGGAGCAGCAGTGGACAGGGAGCCATCAGGRTTCCAGGCTCAGGATTCTGGTAGACCAGTTGACCCTGATTTTGTTCTTTTTCTGGGATTGCACATCCTGCCATCCAGTTGCACCTGTGTAATGGTAGTAACCTATACCCTGCCAGCCACATGCCTCTCCTTGTCATGGAGCTGTGGAATAAATTTAAGATTTCATTTTCACATGGATTTTTCTGCAGCAAGGGAAAAATCAGATAATCCTGAGATCATGCACCCTGTAGTTACATTTGATAAGTGCACTTTGCTAAATTTATTTACTGCCTGCTCCGGAAGGGCATTCGTCATGTGCTGATCAGGTCTGCTGGTTGCTGCTGTAGGACCACGAGGATAAAAACAAGGTCTTAATTTTTTTTTTCTGTTGTAATAAAATATCTTACTGATGATAGAGGCCCAGAATAATGAGGAAAAAGGTAGGTAGTCTTTTTCCTGCTCAGGGAGGAGAGCAACTTTGTTCCACAGCCCTTCTTAACACCAAAAATATCTCTGGATGTTTTGACATGAATACATGAAGATGTTTTAAATGGAGATGGTTGGGGGGAGGAAGGAGTTTATTATCTTGCAGAAATACGCTCTCTTTCCTGCAGTTCTGGAACCATAAATCCCTAAGCTTAAGAAGTTTTAAATTGCGTAACTTTTCCCAGCATTATAAAGATACGACTCTGGATCTTGGCCTGCAAATGGATGTGTGCAGGGCTTGTTTCATGTCCCACTGAAAAAATACGCAATGAAGGAGCAAGCCCCAAATTGGAAATAGTCACATTTTGAAATGGAGAAAATCACTTATCAGTTCTATCCAAAAAATGGTAAATCTTGCTTTTCTGTCTGCGTATTAGAGATTTACATATGTGCATATTCCAGGGATGTACTTCTGAACCAAACCATCCTGGTGAGGAAATGGGGTTAAGACTGAAGGATTCAAGAAATTGTGCCTTTACCATCCCGTTTCCTTCCCTATCTGAGGCTCAAATGTAACATGTTGAAATGGGCCTCCATAACAGTGCTAGGTTATTTTTAATAGCAGTTAAGAGGTGTTGACTATCTACTGAGGATTTGCTTTTAACTCTGTTGCAGGATTCCACTTTACTATAGATTTCTTAGGAATTAACCTGCCTTGTTTTGATACAGCTTAACTTACAGAGAGAAGCTGAATTGCAGTCACTTTAAGAATATTTAATATTGCTAAACTAGTTCAGCATAATMATTTAATTAATTTAATTTTTGTTTGTGCACTTGCACCAGTACCTATAGTGTTTAAAGGGTATTTGGCACAGATGATTTCATAACTTCACTGAGAACTGAAGATCTAAAATGCACTTGCAGTTCATGAAGACAGGAGCCAAAGGTTCTTGGATTGTTTGCAACTTTTCTCTTTTCCACACAGCAATTGATGGTTCAATTAATGCATTGATGTGCAGCAGCAGAAGATTTGCCATTGCTCCCTGAGTCACAGTATTAAGTCAGGCTGAGGCATTTGGCCAGAGTTACTTCATGCTGTGGTTTCAGGTCATACAGCAGCTCTGTAACTTTGCTCTTATGTGCTCCTAAATTTCTTTTCCATTTAATTCCTTCAGTATTGACTGCCCATGTGCTGTGAGGCAGAAGTGTTCCTCCTAATACGTGCTCCTTCGTGACTGAAGAGTAGCACAGATCAGAAAAACACTTTGAGAGCACCATTTCTTGGTTTTGAGACAGAACTGGTGTTTGCTTGCTTTAGGCTTCACCCAGAGCTCAGGCAAGGAAGGGAAAGACTTTTTTTTTTTAGTTCTGTAGGTTTTGCAGCTTTCTCAGTTAGTGGTGTTTGCTTGTTTCTCAGTCTGCAAAGCAGATCTGATGCTATATAGTGTATCCCTTTGGGTAAAACCAATAAATGCTAAATATTCTCCCAGCAATGATGATGATGAGGCAGTGCCCTGGGCTCTCAAATATCCTGGGGGATGTCATCCCCCTGCCTCTGTGCTGCCTGGGATGAAAGGCTCGCAGTGCTTTGGCACAGGGGTGGTGGCCGCTTGTCATTGAAATATCAGCCTTTGAATCCAAACCTGAGCTGACTGTACAACTTCATTCATTACAAAAACAACGAGGTACAATAATGGGATTCCCCTCCTCAGTGTGGCTGACCCAGATACCAGCAGAGGATTGTGTATTTCAGGTGCAAGCACAAGTATAGCACAGTGGAAAACTTAATGAAAAATAGAACTGCAGTGATCTTAATAAGTTTGAGGGATAGAGGCAAGGAGGGGGTGAAAAAAGRCTGATTTTTCACTGAAAACATCCCTGCATGAAAAATACGAACAGTCTGTGTCTGCCTGTACCTAAAACAGGCTTCATAAAGTCTGACATCCTGCTGCCAGGCCTTTTGTTCCTCTTGTTTCAGTACTTTGTGGTTATTCCATGTGTACCTGGAGCTCATGGTTTGATGTTTGTTCTCAGCACACARTATGCTTGGCTTGTCTTTGCCCATATGCTACAACACAGAAGCTCCAGTTTGTTACCACCCTTTAATTTCTGGAAAGCTTCAGAATCAATAACTAAGCAAATGCATCTCCACTCCATTAAAAATACCMGGAAAACAGACACCACAGAACTTTTATTCTGGGGATTTTTGGCAAAAGAGCTMATAATTGGCTCTGTAAAGATGCTCCATTCACATTCTTGAATGCCTGCTGCTCTAAGTGGGAACAGGGCAGCACTGAAGACTTGTTAAATCCCTCCCCATGTTTCCCAGTGCAGGAAAAAGCTGAGCATCYTCACTTCTGTCAAGTTGCTGGAAGGAAAAATGCCATTTGTTCATGAGAAAACACCATACTGCTGTTATTCTTTCACTGTGCTGCTACATGCATCAAACCTCCATTGCTRTGTTTTTGTTGGTGCTTTGGGTAGGTTCGTCCATCCACACCTTCAGCAAGATCAAGGTTCCCAACTTGAGGGTGACACAGTGCTTTGAGTTTGTCCTTGAGAAAGGAGGGAGGCAGCTGTCAGTGTTTGAGTGGCCAAATACATAGAGACATTAAGAAGACTGAATCCTGCCTGTTGGGACCTCTATGTGACCTTCTTCTCTGAGCACACTGCAGTGAATCCAGCTGTGCTCACGTGGAATTTCACTTTTTCTGAATTTTCTCCCCCGTTTTCTTCCCTGGAAACGCAGGTGTAAGGGGATGAGGGCTCTCACTGCCTCATGGTGTCTRCCATGCTCTGAGATGAACATTAACACAGAGAGGCAATGTAGAGGGGGTCAGTGTTTAGCAAAGGCAGAGCTGTATGGTCGGGATCATGGCATCCTGTGGACTGGGCTGCCCTAAAAACAGAGAAAATGCTGTCCTTTCCATCCCTTCACCAAAATGCCCTTGGATGCCCCACCTCTGAGCTGAGGAGCACGTTGATTTGAGGTGCACTGTACTGTGCCATTAGCCTGTGGCAGTTCATTTTCCTCRTTCCCTGCAACATGGGGGTGTTGCAGAACTGAGAATTTCTGTAGGGGACAGACCACAGGGAAGCCAGCTTCTCTCTCAGTCTTTCATCCTCATGTTTCAGTGGTCTAATCTATATATTTGGTCTTAAAACTTTAGTTTTTCTCACTTTTGCCTCAAGCCTTGACCCTGATCCTGGTGAGTCAGCTGTAATTGCAAAAACTTTTCCAAGTTTCTACTGATACTTTTCWGCCTCTCTCCTACAAAAAGAAGAAAGCAATCAGAAAATGAGTTACTGGTTGTGGCCCTTTCAATAGTTCTAACATGAAAAYCAAAGCTTTTGTTTACTCTCCATGAAGACAGAAGAAAAAAAGCAAGTGTTTCCTGTGTGGCCTCTTAAAATTTTCCCAACCATGGCATTCAAGCTTCATTTAAGGTGCCTTTTTTCCCTATATTTATATGCTTTCTTGCTTAGATGGAGGATACTGTGATGCTGAGTGGTCAAAGACCTCAAAGATGAGACAGATGAAGGTCCTTGTGTGGGCTTGAGCAATCAGAAACATCCAGATTTCATTAGAAAACCCCCAGCCCTCTCCTCACATGTAGAAATGCATAAGGGAAATTCCTGACATGGAAAAGGGGGATTTAGAAATWAAGGGCTGTTCAAAGGCTTTGCCCTCTGTGGGATCAGATGGACAAAGCACTGTTGTCCTCACCCTCCCAAATTTTTACTACTTCTTGACAGCTCCTGTCAGGACAGGACCTGGAAGGCTGCTGACATCTTGTGGGCCTTTCTTGTAACCACATCATGAAAAGTCACACTTTGGGTTTTAATTCCGTGCTTTGCAGTCGCACGTTTGGTCTGGTCCTTGCTCAGCTGAGAGAGGGTGCAGGGGGTGTCTCCAAAAACGGTGAAACCAGCACCTCACACCATAGCACATTCCTGGGTGGGAAAAT